CCCTGCGGGTACCACAGCCCCTCGAGCTGGAGAGGAGGGGTGAAGCCCCCAGAGAGGGTCGCTGACAGAAACTTTAGAACAGCCCCAGCCTCTCTTTTTGCTAATCGTTAGTGTATAACTAGCCCTTTTCCTTACTACCCTGTCCTCAACACCATAGTCCAAGGGAGAGAAAAACACACTCTTGTTAAAACCAGAGCCGGGAGCAGAGAGCCAAGTTGAACAGGACTAAGAGGACAGTCCTCCCTCACTGCTGCACTTCAGAAGTTCACCTCATGGTCAAGTCAGAGGTTCAGGACTTTGCCCTTGGTCCAAAGCTGGGCAACAAAATAACCAGGGATCCGGGAGATATCTTTACAGTACTTCTTTACCTAGGCCTTTTTTGCCAATGATGTAATTAGAAGCTAAAAAAATAATCTTTGCTTTGTTTGATTTTTTTCTCCTGCATCAATACATGCTGGTTTACAAGACAGTAAAAAGGATTATCCCATGGTAAAAGTCAGACCCTGCAAATAGAGAGGACTCCACAGCACCGTGGATTGGGAGTACTGAGCAGAACAAAAAAAAAAAACCAACCACAAACAGTCATGTCCGTGGGAACCAGGTAACATGATGTTCAGAAAAATAGCATTCCCCTTTCCTCTGTCACTTGGGGACTAAGGTATAGGCCAAGCAGGACAGGAGCACTGATGAGGGCAGCCCAGGAGTTCCTGTCATATATTTTACAGCAGTGAGGTTAACCCTGTCAGAAGGCCTGTCTCCACTGGCTAGTAGATAGCAGTGGGTATGAGGGCACATTGAATTTTAATAGAGTGGAATCCAGAGATATTTGGAAAGCATCCTGGGCACAGCCACGTCCTGACCCCGTCTGCTTACCCTCTCCCTTCCCCACCAACCCCAGACAAACTAAGACAATCCTGCAGAGTTTACTCCAGGCAACGGTGGCATCAGTGCCTCTTGCTGGCTTCCCTGTGAGTTGCAGTCCCTGGGTCATCAATATGAGCCATAACGATCCTGGGGAGGAAACACACCAAGACACCATGCTACACCACTTCATACAAACTCCAGAGACAGATAACAAGGTCTTGGGGTGTTTGGGATTGGAATGCTGCGTGAGGTTACCTAGACAGGACACCATGCAAAGGCAGGAAGTAAAATGGCCTTAACTTTTTAAGTTCTGCCTGAGATTTGTGCGAAAAGGCATATCTGACATAACCAGGTGTCCTGTCCAGCAGAAGAGTAAGTTGGCCAAGTAGAGTTCTCTGGCCACTGGGAATTGCTCAGCCATTGTAGTGTAGTCATCAGCTACAAAAGACAGGTCTCGACCTGGGACTTTCCATGTAATTTGAGAAGACAGTAATTCCAGCAGAAGCCAGGATATGGTGGAAGTCCCCGAGCATGATAATAGCCTGTCTGAAGGTGCCGTAGTGTAACCTCACCTGGAGGGAGTTCATCACCCCGTTTGCTAGGACAGCCATCTTGCCGGCAACCGATTTCACTCCTTGCTTGAACTGTGCGATGTCAGCTGCAGGCAGGACATTTCCAATTGACACACCACCTACAAGAACCAGCAAGAGTTACCCCGGAGCTCCCCAGCTCCAGAGAGCACCCTGACCCTCTCGAGTCTAGGTCCTCCAAAGCTGCCCCCTTCCTCAACCCGCTGAGTGCTAACAAACCTGAGTGTGCATTCTCCGCCTCTCCAAACAGGTCTGCAGAGCTTATGGCACTGCTGCCTGAGAGCTGCTGCAGTCGGGATCTGGCTTCATACTGCAGCAGAAAACAAAACAAAAAGGTTATAAAGGAAGGGAACAAAGTAGGACCTGAGCAAACAGGAGAAGATGAATCCAGAGCTGTACCAGCTTAAGCACTGCAGAATGCATCTACCTCAGCGTCTGCCTCCCGCCCGAAGAACATATCTGAAGATATGGCTTTAGCCCCTGCAAACTTCTGCCGAGCTTCATTGGATTCCACAACTGATGTCCTGTTCTCTGCCTCCCGCCTACTAGTGGGTCTGAGGAAACAAGAGACGAGACGTCTCAGCTTAAGCTCACCAACACAGCAAAAGAAACAGACTTCTCTCTCAGACCCCATCTGATCAAAGGAAAGCAACAAATCCTCAAGTGCTAGCTACCATCAGGGTTCTCGTCTGCCCACCTCACAACAGCCAGCACTTGATGACCATAAAGGCTGTATCAAACTTAGGGACACGATAGGCAAAGAAGTGCCCAAGCCTCTTTCACTGAAGGCCCTTTTTCTTGGGCTTGTCCATGCAAGTTATCTTCTGCAGCACAAGGCTCCTGTCATAACACAGCAGCATCTCTCCCCACAGCTCCTAGACCTATCCCTTTATCCCACACACAAGGAAGGTACAGTAGCAGTGGCAGGCGCTTTACCTCTCTGAAACTGGCCGAATACTGGAAATGGTCACCTCGGGTTCCTCCTCTTTGTCCATACCCCATGAAGAGTCCGTTTCCCATCGTGAGCCAAATGCATCTTCGAATGAGAAGGGATTATATTTGTACCTGGGTACCAAAAATAGATAATTTAGGCCAGACATTAAGTTCAGGAATACGCCAAAGACTACACTGAAGCTAAGTCTTACTTGGGGGGTCCAGATGTGAAGCCTCCAGCATCTTCAAACAAGTCCAATTGGGAGCGGGAAGATTTGGCAGCCAGCGGCGTCTCCTGCTCAATTACTTGCATCTCAGACATCACCGAGTGTGAAACAGAACTAGCACAACAAACAGGCAGTCAGGGCCAGCGGGCCTGACAGCATCCAGCCCCTCCAACCAGTCTGCCTCAAAACTGAATCTGGCCTTCACAGGCAGGGCAGGCACCACAAGTCTCAAGAGAGAGTTGGTGGGATGCCAGCCCCTTTCACCACTTATCTAGCTTATCCTGACTCCCTCAGAAGTCTTGAGCTCCCTTCTTAAGGGAAGTATTCTGCAGGGGGACATCTGTCAAGCAGCAGGGCTCTAGGGCTAGACGCTGACAGGCCACAAGCATCTTTGGAAAAGCTCAAATGAGAACTAGAGCCTCTGAACAGAGTGCCCATTCCTTCTGGGGCCTGAAGCATTTTTAGACATAGTCCACTATATGAGCACTTTAAATCAGCTCCTTATCTGTTACAAGAACAGCAAGCTACTGCCTTCAGGAAACTTTTCCAGAGCAGGGTGCTTCCAAGGCACCTGTCTGTCCTATGCCATCCACAGCCAAGTACCTTCTGGACACCAAGCCCATGCCCAGCCTCTCTGCTTGTTCACGCTTCTTCCCTTCAAGGTTCTGAAGTTTCTTCTCTTCCTTCCTCCGAGCAAGCTGCAGCTCCTGATAAGCCAGTCGCATTGAGGTGACTCTAAAGGAAAGAGCTAGGTGGGTACCAGCTCGTTACCTCCCCCCTCCAGCCTATGCTATGGAAGGGCCAGGGGAAAGAGTAACCCTGACAACCCATCAAAACACCCATTTCCACAACAGCTCTGCCAAAAATCTTTGCATAGAAGCTACTGCTTGTCTTCCCATCTCACCTCCACTGGGGTTCAACTCTTTTTTGGTTTCCTTACTGTAAGCATTGCCCCCCGCTCCCCGACAGAATGCCCCATCCAGTTCAGCCTTTGCCTTTTTCAGTTCTCTCCAAAGGACAGCAGAAACACAAAATACTTCCATATCTGCTCCTTAAACTCTTCCAGGGATGCCAATTTGAATAAAATATGGCAGTATAACTTGTGCCCTGCTGTAAGGGCCATATTGGCTTATAGCTACTGCTCATCCTATCATGCAGCATGTTCTGTACTCACATCAGGTGGTCCTAGGGTGAGCAGCATTAATCTCATATTACTTCCGCCTTACGTATGCAAGGTATTCAGCCCAAACAGGGCACTTACATGGACTCCTCAGCTTGTTTCCTGGACTCCACTGCCTGCTGCTCCCTCAGCTGCTCTGCCACCTGGGCTTGCCGCTCAATCTCACTGAAGCTCTGGCTGCTCACTTTCTGGGCTCCAAGACCTTTTTTTGCACCCAACTTGAAAAACAAAAACAAAAACATGCAATTTCTTCACCCTAGATTATTCATCATAGAAGAAAATCAGAATTCTACTCCTTGCTGCGCTGATCAGGCTGTCGGTCTCCACGTGTAGTCACAACCTACAGATCCAATAGAGCTTGCAACAGAGTATGGAAGAATACCCAAGAGTTAACCCACCAGTGGCCAGTGCTAAGAGATGGGCCACATATACTTCAGACCACAACAAGTAATGATCCAAAACCTAATTGTTTTAATCTGTTAATATACAAGCTATCTTTCAAAGTAAGCAGTGATATAATCAAAGCTCTCCCTTCCCCAAATGGATCTCAGTATGCAGCTTTGTTAAGGGCAGAAAGCAAGGGCCAGGGAAAGGACAGCAGTAATATGAGACATGCTCTACCTCCTCTCCATAAAACAAGAGCTCAGACATACCCCTTTCTTGGCAGCTCCTGGCTTCTTCTTTCCAATGAGGGAGGATTTAAGTTCTGCAAGAGGAGGGAAGCAGGAAATAAGCATAAGTGAATTAATTTTAAATGCTGAAATTAGTCAGCAACCCACATGAACATCCACCACAGCCTAGCTGCTATAGAGTCCATGGCACACCATGCAGCTTCACATCAGAAGCCTGGGTGACTTCACCCAGCCAAGAAAGATGCACTTAGAAGCTCCACAATTGCAGGCTGGTGGCCTAGAGAAGCATGTCCTTTGCTGGAGAAACTTCTAAGTGAATTAAGACCTTTGAATAGCTCCTCCAAGTGTCATGCAGTTGGTGACCCTACCCAGTAGGGATCAGGGTAGCTAGAGAAAGACTAGATTTATTCCATATGTAAATCCAAGAAAATGCAGCTTCAGAGCCATATGAAGGTCAGTGCCTCACCAATGCCTTAGGGACAAAGAAGCAAGAACCCTAAAGTCATGTTTACGTGAACAGAGCAACAACAAAATGGACCTAAAGTGCAGTGAGCTGTAAAAGCAACAGGTTCCCCAACACCTTGCACCAGGAACCTGTCACTCTGAGGGCATGAAGCATGCCACACTTGTAAAACCAGCCAAGGTCCAGCCAAGCAGCGGATGCCTGGGGAAAAGTGTAAGAACAAAGCAAACAGAGAGGGACTGCCCAAGACATTTTCCCAGATTCCAACATGTAGCTCCAAAATCTTTTATCGCCCTTGCTGGGCTTTTCTTCCACAAAAGTGTCTCCTTACTTTCTACACCCACATGACTTTTGTCAGCCCACACTTTAGATCATTCTTGATAGCTTTTCCTGTATCTTTTCTAGGCTTACCGTAAGTTTTTGAAATAGGGGAGTTCAAAACATTCACACTATCCAAGACTGTTTTCAGGTTGCTCTTCCTAACATTTGATTTGGGGTTGTTTGTGGGTTTTTTTTTTTTATTACTCTCAGGAAACATTTAACAGAAATTACAGTAAGATCCCTTTCCAGAGAAGTAATAGCTGGTTTAGATCCCAGTCGGTACATGTAAGCTTTGGTTCATTCTCTCCCTCCAAGCACAGGAAGCTAAAGTTAGAGTTGAAGGCAGAATCACAGAAGGGGCAAGCAGAGTTGTCACAAGCAGCCAGCGCAGGCCAGCTGTTAGCCAGTTACCTCTGGCAGGAGCAGGCCCTTGTGTTGATAGATACATGGACATGTCTGAGGAAGAGACATAAAACACGGGGAATGAATAGACACTTGAGGACACAAGCTTTCCACCCAGGATGAACCCACTGTGGGCTAGGAGCACACGCTCAACAAGGAAAGAATATCCACCTAGAAGTTCTGTGTGCAGCCAGGACAGTAATGGCAGGGGAGAATCAGATACAAATCCCTATTACTCTGGAAGCTAAAAATTCATTTGCCTCCAAAGGTTCTGGGGAAAAAAAAAAAAAAACAAACCAAAAAACAAACACCAGAGCCACGTGGCCTTGATCAGCCAAGTTCTAAATACACAAATGCCAAGTTTCGTCCAAAGCTCAAAAAATGCAAACAAGCTTTTGGGAAGGCGACAGCTTTGAACTCGATCATCCAAATGAGGAGGAAACTTCCAGTAAACTGCGGCATGGTTTTGGGCTTCAGGGAGATCCTCAGTAGTGGCTCCACAGGAAGATAAGCTCCTTTAGACATTCTGAAAATTGGCTCATCAGTTCCAGCTCCACTGAGCTTACTACTGAACAGTAGGTATAAGAGTAAGACTGACCTGAGAGATAGTGAAGAGTCTTACTTACCTAGAGGAGCTTTAGGAGATGTGCTCAACAAGTCAATAGATGGGCCTTGGCTAGAATCTGTGGGCACAAAACCACAAGAGAACATTCAGCAGACTGATTCTTAACCCCTTTCTTTTCAGTGTGCTCACAGTCCCACTATCTCTTCTACCTCCTCTGCCCTCCCCCCCCGCCACCCCGCCAAACAAGCTAAGTTACAGTTTGAAACGTGCAATTTCCCAAGCACAACAACTTTACATCTCCACAGAGCAAGTTATTCCCTCTGCAATGTTCTTAACACGTTAAAAGAAAGCAAACACGCTGCAGGGGGATACCCAAAGCTGTTTCAAATTACAGCTATGCTCCCAGATTCTTGGTTTCCTTGTCATTCACCCTAGAAACAGTTTTTTGCTCTATATTCATATGTCATTTCCAGACCCACCAAATTCAAGGGATAGAGAAGAGTGTTCAGACAAATAATTATGTCTGGAAGCAGGGAAACAGGGCAGCTAATCCCCAAAACAGTTTTATGTGCATTTCAGGAAAAGCAGAGAACTGATCCCAAACAGAGCAGTGTTTTTAGAAGTCTCCACTAATTTAACTAAACATCATAGAGTGCACAAAGCTTCCACTCCTTCAAGCCTGAAGCGAAGGAAAAGCTCAGCCCTTCTAACTGTGGTACCGAAGTATATTCTCCTGGAAATGAAGTCAGGTTCTTGGAAAAATTATTCAGCAGGGAACTCACTCAACACTTCACTGCCTTCTGATGACTTTGCTGCTTTTTCTACTTCCGGGGAAGACTGTGCAGGATTCTGGCTGGCATCTGCTACATCCCAGGTACTGGAAGACTGCAAGAAGATGGTCATTCCAGTGATTTGTAGAAGATAAATGAACAGAACAATCCTGAACTTACTTCAGGTTTAGTGACATGTATTCAGTTTTAGGCCAAAGGAAATGTGTTCCATACTCCAGACTATGCCTTCACTGAAGATAAGATAACATATGGACAAGTCCACACTCCCTGAACAGGGACAAAAATTAAAGAAAAAAAAAAACAGAAGCTAAGCTGAATGGAAGGCCAGGAGGAACGGCCGCATCACTCGATAGTAGTATCGGAGTTGGCTACTGCAAGGACTTCCCAGGTTAAGGAGATGAGCTTAGATCTCGCAGAACGCGTGAATGAGGTTCCCTGGAAAAAAATAATCTCTGCTTCTACCATCTTTATTGCCATACAGCCAATTCTCACGTTACTCTATTCACTTGAGAAAGTCCACCTAGCGTTGTGCAAGCAGTCGCCCAAATCCACTTTACCAGAGTCTATGCACTGAAAAGCTGACTAAACCAGAAGTTCAAAGTAATAGCCAGTTCTTGCTTTAACTGTACAAAGAGACTACACATTAACGCAGTACACAAAGCATTTTCCAGGGAGTAGCTGGTAGCTCTGAGTATTCCTTGAAGATAAAGATGGTCTCGAAAACAAAGGACATGGATATTACAGGCCCCATGAGGGATTGTTTAGATCTGTGACTATGTCCCAGGCTGATGACTGAATGTTCTTCCATGTTACTACTGAACGAGTAACAATTAGAGTCCTTCCAAACTAAGTGGGACTGCTCCTGGCTGAACAGCTGGCTCTTTGAGAACTGTTAAAGCTGTCCGGTTTAGACAGTTCTTCTCACCTGTGTGTGCTCCATGAAGAAATCAGCATCACTCTTGTCAGGGGAGTGCCCAGGGGCTCCACTCGGTCCATCTATAAGCAGCTGAAGAAAGGAGAGGGGAAGAAAAGAAGGTATCCTACAAGACTCAGCATCCAGCACTACACATCTAACAGTACAGAGCTGCTCAGACTTACATCAGTGCCATACTTGGCCATGGCAGCGCTTGCCAGCTGCCGGATCTTCTCCCTGTACATCTGGGCAGCTCGACTATTATACTTAGCGTTGGCATCTGTGGTAGTACAGCCGTGCTGGCGGAAGAAAGCAGTCTGAAAAGAGAAGAATATTCAGTCTCCTGACTGCCAGATCATACTCAAGCAAGCATTAGACATAAACTCAACAGAAAAAGGAAGCTTCCCAGAGACAGGGGATGAAATACTGAGCACACAGCATGAACCAACCATTCATCGAACAGCTTTCTCCAAGAAGCCTCACTCCAGAGGCCTAAGAAAACCATCCCTGTCCTCCACAGGAGGATGCTTCTGAGTCATAATGCTGAGCATGAGCTTTCAAACTGATCAGTGTTACTAACTTCTTTCATTTAAAAAGACTGTGCCTCTCATTTAAATGAGATGTAAGGAAATGACAGATCTGCACATCAGAAAACAATGCATTCAAAGGTCACAGTCTGACTTCCAAGCACACCTGACAAACGCCTGTCCTCATTACACATTTCAGATGAGGTTGGTACCCAGAAAAAAAACCAGATGAGGTTGGTACCAAGAAAGCCACACAAAAGAAAGGGACAAGAAACAGAGGATGTGGATTAGCAAGAGGGAAAGCAAGCAAAATGCCTACAGAGGCTCCTCACCGCGTTGGCATTGCTGCCCACTTGCATACACCTCAGCTGGAACCAGTTCCAGTTAGAATCCAACTCTGTGGACCTGTGTGAGAACCAATTAATTCTATTAATAATGTGCAGGCATACCAAATGCAAAAGCAAGTTCTGAGCTAGAACGGTCAGATATTCCCACTACTATCCCAGAGTATAGGAGGCAAAGGGGGAAAGAACATCTTGGTAACTTCTTTGCTCCCCTAAGAAAATAATTTGAACTTTTAAAGTGAACAAAAAACCCCACAGTTTCAGCTTCACACCAAATAACAGCTTTCAAATTTAGAGGCCCTCTCACTTGTATTGCTTGTTAAGAGGGCAGAGCTTGAGCTAGGAAAGCACACCCAACAACTTTCGTTCTACACGTGATCTCACCACAACATGAGAGACTCATGTTCAGCCCGTCCCACAGATTAGGCCAAAACACATGACAAAGCAACAGAGAAAACAACCAAGTAAAGCTATGTGACAGAGTATGTCTCATACCAGTTCCTCAACTTATCTCTGAATAAGTAAAGGTCACAGCTCTGTTACTTAAAAATGCTAACTTTTACAAGTACTGACAATAAGAACAATAGGCTGAAAATCCAACACCATCTTCCCCACTGGGTTGATACAGAAAAGATTAAGTAACATTGCTCTTTTTGCCTTGCTCAGCATTACAAGAAAGACTTCCATATTGCGGCTTTACTGGCGAGATTCACACACCACACTCTCAGCTTCTAGAATCCAGAGCCCAGACAGCATTTCTGCAAGGTTAGCAAAAGTAACGTGTCCATGCTCCACTGAGGTGCTTTAGAAACTCCATCTTGGAAGCGCCGAGTGGCCCAAAACCTCCAGCGAGCCACGTAAAACCCGAAGCGATCACTCCGTGACCACGCTTCTCTCTAACCGAGTCTCCGCACGTTCCCACACCAGCGAGGCACGGCTGCTCCCGGCCTGCCCGCCGGTGACCCACGGGCCGG